CTTAGTGTTACTGTAAAAATAGCATGTTGCTAACTCTTTAATTATGTCTGAACCACAGAACTGTCTCTGTCAACATCACTTTATCATTTTCTGACTGTTGACCGTTGACTTTCTTATCTTAGGCAACTCTGTATATCTGTTTCCTGGAGCTGGGGAATGGGGAATATCTTGTTCCTCGAGTCTTGCTATGATGTAAAACAGTTTTTGCCTCTTAGTGCCAGTTTGGAAAGACAACAGGGCAACATTATAATTACAATTCATTTGAAGTTGTGTTTGTGGCCACCTGTCTACAAATCTTTGTAGGCTTTATATGTTTTTGGTCTCAACCAGCTAAAGAGGGATATATCTGTCTCTTTAGCTGCTAAATGCTCAACTATAACCAGCTGTCTTTCACTGTGTCTGTTTTCTGTTTGGTGCTGAGCAGGTAAAGTGTTTTAAAAGCATTTTCTCTAAAAACAGCCGCCTGCTGTGGCCGAAAAAAGCACTATGAGAGCTGTGAACCAAAACAGAATTGTTGCCGAAATCTAAGTAATGAGCTGAAAGTGAAGGTACAGTTGTAAAACATCTCATTCAAAGTCTTAAGATGCATCTCAGTAAGAAGACATTATGGGTAACAATATTCTGCCAATCGGCCAATAGCCTCAAATCATAGCACTAAATTAAAACATAAACACACACACACGCACACGCACACACACACACACACACACACACACACACACACACACACACACACACACACACACACACACACACACACACACACACAACTTGTACACAACCATGTGACTTGTGAAACATAATTCAAGCCCCCTCGAGGCAAAGGGTTCATCTCCCCACTCTGGTGTTTGATGTCATCTTTAAGCGTTAGTAACCTCTGACCCCAGATACAGAGTAAAATCAAACTGTGTGCAGATTTTCTTCTTAAAAACATCACATGTCTAAAGTAATATGACTTTAGAATAATCTTTTGTGTTTCCCCACTTCCTCCTGTTGTCTCCTCCTTGTCTCTGTGCTTCCCTGTTTTACCAGCACACTTGTAAAGGCTTGTAAAATGTGATTTCCTCATATTTGGGAGTTTTCTTTTTTTTCTAAATCGCTCTGTGCCGTACCTTCTCTGTTTCCAGATAACAGAAGCTCTCTGCAGCTGATCAAACTCTAACACTTCTGACGAGATTATTCAGTCATTGAAGTGAAAAAACCTGATATTTGTTTCTTATCGTGCTCCTGACGAGCCACTTTTACAATTATTCCTTTCTTCAATGTAATCTGGACAGATAAGAAGGTGCAATTTGGGACAAAGTGGCCTGTGGGCAAAAGTTTAAAGATACTAGAGAAACTTCTTAGAAAAATATCAGACACTGTAGTTATTATTTCACTCTTTTAAAGCAAGTACCAAAAAAAAGTAATAAAGGTTCAGGAAAAGCTTGCGATGCTTTTAATATTTCAGATTCTACTTTAAAGCATGGCCCTTAAACCCTTAACCTGACCATTTTGATAGTTATTTTTTCCTTATAAATGTTGTGTCTGTGTCAGAGAGCTGAATATCGCTCCGTGCTGCATCACCTGGCCTCCTCCCAAATGTTTTGTACAACAGGAAATTGCACAAGAAGGGGAAGCCATACAGAGCCTCAGGGCTATAAAGTGATCTAATGTAATCTCTGAATTGAATAAAAAGCGAGACAAATTAGTCTGTAATGATAAATGATTAAATAACTGTGCCAAATTAGAAAATATTAAATTGCTCAAATGTTCACCTGACATCTGGTCTTATTGCCAGCATTTGTGTACAATTCCAAATAAATAGGAAATGACACACATAAAAACTATTCTTTGTTGCATGGGTGTGCCACTATTGTTTTTTTTTAGAGAACACAAATTATTTGAATAGGGTTGTGTGATATATTGAGTTCAGTGTAGGTAACTATACATTTACTCAATTACTGTAATCATGTTCAATTGTGTAGTAATAGTACTTCAGTACTTCCAATTTATACTACTTTATACTTCTCTTCAGATTCAGATGATTAGCTAATACAATAAATAAATACATAATTAAATAAACTGATCATAGGTAAAGACATACAGCAGCAGTATATAAAGTAATTCAAATGAGTTCCACCTTTACCAGCCATGATGAACACAATCATAAATCAATAATCCATTTATTATATTTGTATATATAAAAACTGTATAAATATTCTTCTAAAATGGACCATAACTCTTAATGAGTAGTTTTACTTTTGGTACTTTAAGTATATATGAATACTAATACTTCTGTTGTTTTACTTAAGGAAGATTTTTGAATGCAGGACTTGTACTTGTATCAGAGTATTTTTACAATTGAGTATTGCTACTTTAGCTCAAGTGAAAAATGTGAGTAGCCTACTTCTTCCACCACTGCATGAGTGTAAAGATCAATGAACCTATGGACTGTTTGGTGGTAACATGTCTCAGACATATACAGACCCTGTCAATAGGCGGGGCCGGGTATCGAACCCACTATCACTGTGGAACAACTTATCGCTATACAGAGGCGACATGTGGGACGCCCTCATCCTTCACAGTGTAGCGGAAAGACGCATATAATTAACTTATTATAACGTATAACATACAAAACAGGTTAGTAGGTGGGGCTATTTACATGTTAAGAAACAGAAACAGAAAACGTTCATTTGAGAGAAATAAAGTAATTTGTCATCAAACCCACCATTTCTTCGTACACTCCAGTACGAGTTCCTGGTAAGAGGCGACAAACTGAAACTTTGAAGCCTTTTTACCGACGCGCTGCAGTCTCTTCCACACCGAAGTCATGACTTCCTCTGGTGAAAAATATAAACTATCAAACAGGAAAAATAAATAAAAACACGATCTCCTCCACGCAACAATAATCCAGCGATCTCTGCTGTGTCAGTTCCTTAAAATGCACTCTTCTTCTTCTGCTGCTGCTTCTGGTGATGATAACTTCACACAAGCTGAAACTTGCGCTCATTGGCAATGAGTTGAATCAGAAGTGTCGCCATGTACCGAACAGAAACAGCAATAATACAAAAAGCAAAGAGGAACCGATTCCGCCCTGCTGGCTGTCGTTCAAACAGCATGTAGGCCTACCCTCATGATATGAATTTCAAGTTTTTCTATGAAACGACTGCAGCTCATTGACAACTCTCTTTCTGGCAGTAATCCACATGGAGACAGCAGCAGCGCTTGTTGTAATGTAGATCTGCTGCCTTGAGTTCACACTTCCTCCTGTGACAACACAGAGAGAGGGAGGATATGCAAAGAGAGCCTACTGGTGATGCAGCAGTATGCAAAGGTCTCCTCTATCTATGCTGCTTATGAAGGCACTGACAGTCTGAAGTCATACCTGTAGACTTTGATCATGACTGTGTGTGTCACTGGCGCAGGCTTATCTATCTGACTGTTTCACTTAATCAGCCTGGCACACTTAGATCTCCTGCAGCAGGCATATAACATGCAAGCGCTTTAGCAAGAAATACATAAAACACCTTGTGTGTTTTCTTTTTTCAGCTCATAGTCATAACTTAAGTCACTTCCTGTGTTTTAGTTGCGTCATCCAGCACTTGCCAGAAACGTCCAGTTAACTACAGAGGAATAGTTTCCATGAAGAGGGCCAGTAAGTGTGTGTGTGTGTGTGTGTGTGTGTGTGTGTGTGTGTGTGTGTGTGTGTGTGTGTGTGTGTGTGTGTGTGTGTGTGTGTGTGTGTGTGTGTGTGTGTG